TCCCATGTGAAACATGAAATAAATCACATTAGCCGTTGCGAGGTGTTACGGGGACGTTAATCTAGCATGCATTCGACCGTATTTCCTGAAGAACATTCTTCAAATTTCTATCCAGCGTCAATGTGCTTTATTCCTTTAATACATAACATTTTTTCTGGAGTGGAAGAACTTATTACAAACATAAATGAAATATAAAAGTGAAGATGGACTCCAAGACCTCCTGAAGCTCAAACTAAACAGTTTTTATTACTGACTAATGACCCGCACGGGTGCAATGCTGATACTAAATATATTTTTGTTTTGTTTAGATTATTATCGAAAAGGGGAAATCTTCAAAAGATACCCCCTGAACATACTAAATATACTACAGAATGTCTTTATATACAACATTCACAGTTTTTGTCATTAGACAATACAAACCGGCCTCCCGGCCGGTACCGCCGCAACCGCTATGTCCCTGCATTTTAAATCTGCAATATCTTCGAAAATATTCATTTAAATTACATGCTGTAAAGGGCCATATTAATCTATATTAAATGCACAATGTATTTAAGGTACTTAATTGGATAAGAATTAATGCTGTATAGCCTACAATCGCTTCGTAAATAAGTCATTATTTCTCATAAAAAGTAAAGGATAAAAATGGTTATTGTGGGTTATCCCTAAGAGATAGGCATATACCATCCCGGACTTTTTTGTAGACCCTTTTAAGATGTACAATATTGTAGTACATTATTTTGATCTATCTCGTAGGGTTCAGCCAGCGTTTGCAATGTAAGCGCAAAAAATGTGTTTATTTACGACATCACATCAGAAACCTCTAAAATTATCAGTGTTTCCCTACTATATTATGCATGTATTATACATATAAACCTTCCTCTTGAATCACTCTATCTTTTAAAAAAAACCGCATCAAAATCCGTTGCGCAGTTTTAAAGATTTAAGCATACATAGGGACAGACAGCGGGAAAGCGACTGTTTTATACTATGTAGTGATGAATCTTGTAATTTTTAGAACCATCTTAGGTATTATTAGATTTTATTTTTTATTTTCTGTGAAACTACTTGAAGATTTCTTTGTCATTTCTACCACTTTGAGCTCGTAGAGTGCGGGGGGAACCATTCTTTTCCCTACCAGATTTAACGGGGTTGGTATCCGTGCTTCCCGCAGTACCAATCTGCATTACTGGTCGGATGTTTGACGGTTAGTCTGGTATTGATGCACCATCTCAGGTTCTTGGGCTTATCACCTACACCATGACCTCTACACTCAAGTCGACCAGACTACCCCAGCACCCTTTGATGGGTATAATGGGCAAGGTCCAAACCTCTACCACACATTAAATGGGATCGGTTACAGGGACCCTCAGTTTTTAAGGGTGAATGTCATGTGTTCCGCCCGCCAAGATTGGGGCCGATACTAAGCAGCTTTTCCGACACTTTAAACAGTTGCTTACGGTTTACGCTATAAACCTGACGCTTTGGATAGTGTGTCGTTAGCCTCAGATATCTACCCCGAAATCTGCACGTTCGGACTTCCTCCAAGACATGTTCTGCGACTAAAACTGTCAAACTAACAAACAGTAACAATGATCCATATGATGATAACAGATATGTAATGTAATAGCTAGATAATTTTCTATAATAGGAGTCTTCACTGTGCAAATTTGTCTCGCATTTGAAAATTGTATTTTTGTTAAAAAGTCAGAGATGTAATGTAAATTGGTATCGACCTGCACGAGTGCAGAGCATGCATGCAAGACTGTTGCAGAAAAACAAGAAGAACTTTTGCAGGAAGTTACGAATACGACAGAAACGGTTTAGATCAGGCTGTGGGTCTTAGTGCTGGCTCATCCGGGGCTAATTCAATTAACTTTTTGTTCGAAATAATTGTAGGAAACAGCATGTTTTCCCAACGGAACGAGACCTCTTGTAATTTGCTCGAACGACTCTAAACTCGCTTTTGTGTACGGCAAAAAGCCGACGTCTGGTGTTATGTACGAGACAAATTCAAGAGCGCACGCCGTATACTCTCTCCGTAACACAGATTTCAAAAGTTCGTGCAAAGCTATTTTCCTTATTAGCCCGTCGTTCAGATATGTTTAAGATACAATGTTGCACGCTTCTGACTGTGTACAGCGACGATGATACTGCAAAACAACGGCGGAAAGTTGTAAAAGCGAGAGACTCAAATTGAACACATGTAAATTTAGAAATAGGATGAAATTAAGTCTACAAGAAAGGCCAAAATAATAAAAATATTACCTCAACCTACGAGGAAAATTACACACGAAGCGTCTAGCAAAATTAGATTACTTTAACTACTTTGGAACAATGTACCTAGATAGGTATAAATAAATCGGATGCAAACTATGTAAGCTGCATTTCCGAGTTTGTACAAACACTTTTTAACTACCACTACCAGTTCACAAAGTTTTTAAAATATTAAGGTAAAAGTAGAGCATTAAAAATTTTTAGCTTCTTATGAATGAATACTGAATGCTGAGCTAAATTAACGAAGTGTCAAAATAATGGAGTCAAAATCTGTAACCTTTCTACAGGATTTCAATTAATAGCAGTTTTTTTGGATGCCGTACACTAAGGAGCCAACGGAGTCCTACTATTTTGACAACTCTGGTCATCCATTTGTCTTCCACTCCTATCTATGTTCAGCAAATCTTCACATTTTCCGAAAACTAGAACATCCCACATCTCCAACTTTTTGCGAGCAATAGTATTCTTATGCCACTCTTTACTCCTGTTTCTATTTCTCATTTGCTTGTAACATGGCTCAGAAAATGTCCTACCATCCTATTTCCTTTTCCTTATTATCATCCATAGTGTTCTCGCCTCTCCTACTTTCACCTTATTTCTGACCATGGCATTTCATCATTCGCCTAAAATACTACATATTCCGCCACATTTCGCTCTCATTCAGAGGCCTGTTCTGAACCAACCATACACTCTGGTAATATTTGATTATCTTTCGAATTTCCAACAAAATATACTTTTTGAAAGCAGCCCGACCAATTGTGGGGGTCAAACATCTCCCAGACACAGATAAAATGTCTCTAAAAGTATCAGAGCGAGCTCGTTTTAAAACACAACAACATTTAAATTTTGTCTGGGGGATGCTTAGCCCCTAAAATTGGTTTCGCTGCTTGCAAAAAGCATTGAAATAGTATCGCATGATCAAAATGAACGCTCAGACTACAAGTAAAATTACGATTTTTTGCGAACTTTGAAGTGCCTGGCAGAAACCACTTCCGATAGGACGTGTCTGACAGTGTTGATTATCAATTATTAACAAACTTTATGTAAAAATTAGCATTCAGACTTATTGAGTACCTTTAGCACCTGGTAACTGTAAAGTGGTCGTCGACCAAAGTTAGCAGGTATGCATATACAGTGTAAACTCTTTATAACGTCACTCGATTTAACGACAAACTCCTTAAAACGTCGAAATTGCTTGACTTTGGTTGGTTTACATTGTTTTCCATACAATATTACACTCTATATAGCGTCACGCTCACTCTATTTCACGACAACAATGCGACATTATAAATTATTAAGCAGTACTTTCGAAGTTGTCGAAATAGATAAGAACTGCAGCTGTACGTTGTTCAAGAAGACGATCCTGTCCCTCCACCAAGCATCAAACAAGCACTTGATGCAGCGAAACTATTAAAAAAATACTTTTTATGTAATCAAATTGATCCAGCAGCATCTCAAGATATGAGTAAGATGCGTAACAAAATACAATCACAATATTGGGAGCAGCAAAAAACATCAGAGGAAGATAACAGGCTATACGCAAAGTATGAATAATAATGTTCGTGTGCAAAATGTGTACTATACTGATAAACGCATGTTATTATAGAATAGTAAAATAATATCTTTTATTTCTCTCCATTTAACGACCACTCTTTATAACGCCGAAAAATGTTCAGTCCCTTAAGTGTCGTTATATAGAGTTTACACTGTATTTCAAAGTACATACTAACACTATTCTATCCCACCCGTTTTGTTACTCTACTAGAAAATAAGTACTGTAACGGGTTCTGGGATCTTGGACAATAAGTATTTATATATATATCTATACATAATACGAAAAATTGGTAGGTAACGCAAACACAGACTTGACTGATTTTTATCATTACTTAATCCTGTGGGATACCCTCTAATCTATTTTAATTTTTACCGTCAAATTTACATTTTGGTTTTTAAAACTCTGGTATTATAAAATTTTGATAAACAAAATAATTTTCCATCGCTATTCGAAAGCACGTATTATAGGTGCGTTTCTTCCCATATACAAAGCTGGACGGCGATCGATGGGTAATACGGTGTATAAATATTTTGATTTGGCCAACACATTCAGCTCGGGTTTTATTAGATCTTCCGTATAGTGTTCGGTCGGCCGTGAACGGATTAGAGGGATTGTGTCACGCCGCCGGCAGCGGACGTCCGTCTGGCCACTGGCCGTGTCGCGTCTATCGCGTCCCGATGCCGATATCGACGAGAATTTTAAGTAGATTATTGCCAGTCGGATATTAGTTACGAATTAATTCGCAAATTGCATTGTCGTTATGCAAAACAGGGTCGCATCTTGATTACTGTGAAATCGCTTCGCCGCAGTTACTACTTCGGTACCACCGACAAAATCAACTAGATCGAATGCGACAACAGTCGCCATTATATTGAGATTTATTGTCAACGCTACAGAGTGTTTGGTGGGACTAAACTAAACGAAAACTACTGTCGAAAATTCCCTATCGTGTTTTAATCATAACAAAAAAATTAGGACAGACCGCTCGAGAGGGTTGCCTTTAGGATGTCACGAGTGAGGGAGAACACTACTATCTAGGACTGTGCAGGGCGCAGGACCTATTCGCAGCATTCTCTAACACTCCTAGCGTCACGCAGACAATAAAGTAAAGGAACGACTATATTCGTATTTGTCTATGGTTTTAGCATCCAATTTGTCAAGATCAGTTAGATTAGAAGACCCCATTTTTCCATTGGTCAGTTTGGACAAGTTCCTCACGAATACCACGATCGATGGGGTCCTCCAATTCCTAGCAGTGAACTGAAGTCAAACCAATACCCAATAATATTAGTGATAAATACACTTTCTTGGGAAAATTAAACAATAATTACTAACCAAAATATCCTCTTAGCGTAGGGTCGAGTCGCCTTGAATAAAAAGATCTTCTATGCTCGCGAAAGATTAACTTAGAAATTCTAAAAAGATTGTTGAAGATGTATGTTTGGAGCGCGGCGCTGCATGGGTGCGAAACATGAACGGTGGACGCGATGGAAAAGAAAAGGTTAGAAGCGTTCGAAATGTGACGTTACAGGCGAATGATGAGGATACCGTGGACAGAGAATGTTAGAAATTAAGAGGTATTAGAAAGAGTAGGAGAACAGAGGACTCTGTGGAAGTCAATAAAAAATAGGCGAGATAGGTTGATAGGACCCCTTCTTAGGCATGAAAGTCTACTCAAAAACATATTAGAGGCAGAAACAGGAGTTAGGAGGGGTAGAGGTAGACCTAGATTAGATTACTGTTCGCAAATAGTTAAGGATGTGGGTTGTTCTAGTTTTAGGGAAATGCGAAGTTTTAGGGTTGACGACCGTATGATGATGAGAATATCCACTTAGGTACCTATAAGCATTTCTTACATTCTAAATAATAAACGACCTGACAGTGGCACCATTGTCTGGTTCCTACTTACCTACCTACAAGATGATTCCCTTAAGTTACTTTTGAGTATGAGTGACATTCGGTCGACCAGGATTCATTTCGTTCGGGACTAAAACTAAATCTCCGTTCGCCTGGTTTAATGAAGTAATCCTATCATAGTCATAGGCATTTTCTAATGCTCAGAGCCTCTTATAGGTTAAGGACGTCCCTGTAGATTATGTAAACTTCTGATTGTTGTGTCTGTCGAATTTTAGGTAATACCTGGGGTTTCCCTTAGTTTAAACGTGTCTTAAACATTTTACCATACAAATTAGTGATGAGCAACGCAAGACTAATGTCAATGCTGGGACATTTTTGACCTTAATCTTGCTCATTCGGTTTTGGTCTTGCTCAAATATTTCTACTGTTGTTGGTCTTAATCTGCTGATACAACCTAGTTGTGGGTTATCGGGCAATACAACGTAAAATCAATATAAATTCATGAAACAAAAAATACCCTTTTCTGTACCGTACGCCTTTATAATGAGTAATAATATACCTACAACAGCTGTAATTGGAGTTGTTCTCAATAGAGTTCCTGAAACATTCAAAAGCAATTTTCTTCAAAGTACAAGTTAAAGATTTTTCGTAATATCATCACCAACGATTTCATTTCTCTTACTTAATTTAAATCAATTCAATTTGTACTGAACTGTATTATCTACTATAAAATAAAAAATGAAATATCTAAAAATTAACCCTCAAGGATCACTTATTTTAAATTAGAAGCTTTCGACTTTTCTTTATAACGTTGTACTACCTATTAGAAAGAACCAATTATAGTATTTATCAAACAAAGAGAAGTAATAACCTTGAATTTATTATTTGATTTCAATTTTTTTTTTGTTGCGAGCAGGCATCGATTTTAAATCGGACTTTCTGGTATTTCGAAAAAACGTCGGCATTCCTGCTACGCGTTTCCTTTTCCGCTGTAGCGGTTCTGACAAAGAAATTTTACGCCTCAGTTGCGAATAAGCGTAAAATAAAATCAGGGCAATTTACGGGTGAGAATTTGCTACTTCTCATGCTGCAGTCGCGAATTTTTTTCTACGGTTGTCGGCAATTTCGGCGACTGGAAGAGATATCGACACCAATTTGCATAGAGATAGGGATGGGAATATGTCGAAGTACCAATGCTGACATTTTGAATGATTTATTCCTAGTAGATCCTGGTATTTGCCGGAAGGAACATCGGTATATCAGCATTGTGTACACGATGAAAATATGAAGTTGTATATGTAACATTCTTTACGGTTTCCAATCTTTAAAAGAAACTATCACTCACATAAAATAATTCGAAGTGGTCTGTATTCTGTCGAAACTGCCAGACGCGGATCGCGATTTCGATCTTTTTGGATCTCATCAGCGCGTCGCAGGCAGCTCCGACAGAACA